GCCTTAATCCATACCCCGATAGCAAAACGTGCAATCGCACGCGAAGGCACACCGTGCAGTCACGGCGTGCGTTCACAGTGGCATCTCTGTGCAATCACTGCATGGAAAACGCCATCATAACCGCACAGAGAGCGCACGTGGTGATTATCACACCGCCGTGCGCGCACTGCGATGAAAATGCACCGTAACCGCACTGCAATGAAAATGCGTCGGAACCGCCGTCGCATGTGTTGTGAACGGCCGCGTTCAACACAACAATTACTGAGTTGTCTTGTCACCACTTGACGTTAATTTGTTGGTTTTATAAGTATAAGAGCCAATTACGTTTGATTACTACAAAGCAGCTTATTCTAGTGAACAAAGTTATTGTACCGAAAGTGGGAAAAGTGACCAATAATAAAATAAATGAAAAATATCATTACTAACTGTGTTTTACAGGTGGTATGTTTTGGCGAGGTTATTCTCATTGTGGCAGTTGACTCAGGTAAAATACATACAAAATATCATCAATAAATTTAAGTTTAAAGTGTATAAAAAATAGTTATTGGTAATAAAATGTATTTTATAAAAATTTTCTATTTTTCAAAATAATTATTTTCTAAATTTTCAAAATGTCGATCAGGCGACTTATGACAATGTGGTAAATATTATTTTTATTTTTTATATTTAATAAAAATTGATTGCATCAAAGTCTCTTCTTCATATGATATAATAATATTATTTACAGGTCAATCACTTCATCTATTTAAGTAGTATGAATCCCGTGGACTCTGCAGGACATTATTTTAAATGTGCCTTTACTAGCGATATAGATATTTTATCTCATGTCACGTGGCTAGGTACAAACAATTTATACGCTTTAAAAGGAACTCTGCCTTTACTAGCATGTGAAGGTCACGTCTTTATTATATTATTTTGACTACATTGCTTTCATATCTGATTAATGTTAAAGATGCATTCATATTTAATTTACGTTAAAAATGTTTTTTCACAGATGCAATGGCTAGAAATCGTGACTACTGTCGACCAACTAATATGGAGTTTGCTGAAGCAATGACTCGCGCTCTTAAAAGTTCAAAAGAGAGGCGATAAAAACGTCAATTAGTCGCGGATTTGAACAACCGACATCAGATCAGCAATCAGATAATCGACAACGTTGAAGAGAAAGACCGCCAAGTTCGTAGATGTCATGTGAAAAAAAGCAACCTCTGCCAGAGTTCACAGAATATCGCCAGAGTCAGTTGCTACCTTTCAAAGCACTGATGTAAGTTTAAGCATTTGTATACTACATTAATTGTCATTTTGTCAACATATGAAAAAGTAAAAAAATCTGAAAAGTTTATATTGCTGCAATATTACAAAAAACATCAAGTTTGTCTTATCTCTCGTCAAGTTTCAGCAAAACAAAAAACAAAACTTGTTTCTCTGGCGTAATGCCAGACGTTCATTGTGTTGCCTATTACAATAAAATTACATTATATATTATTTCTTATACTATATATATATATATATATATATATTGTTATTCTTGCAGATAATATAGAATTATTAAATACATTCTTAAATATATTACAATTATATTGTAAACAATATAATGTATTTT